TGTTCTGTGGCCACCCTGAACAAGTAAGTAATTCAAACACTGTAGGTTTTGTTACATTAATAGTTATAGAGCATATTTTTGATTAAAATGCAACCATAATGTTAAAAATGCATTTAAAAAAAAAAACCTATACGCAACGGAAACAACATTAATGCTATTCAAGAGGTTAGACCTGTCTGTAAACTTGAAAAAATTTTTTTTTTCTTCTTTATTGCACAAAACGAAATTAGACCATCAATAACACCATCGTGTGAAAATTATAAGTAAATTAACAAAAAAATGACAGGTTAGGTGATCCCACAAAATAAGATTTGACGCAAGATTACAGTTTCATAAGATTGGTTTGACATAGAAAAATATGTCATCTTTTACATTTTTTTCATGCATATAATAAAGATTATTCACTAACAATTTCCTGAAAAAATTTTAAAATTACCTAAATGTCACTCTCTTAGTCTATGGAACTTTTTAACTAATTAAATATTTTTACACCAACATTTCTATATTTAAAGTATATTAATAAATTGTGCATACTTTAAGATGTAAAATAATATTTTTAAAACTGTTTAATCATTTAACTCACAAAATTATGTCATTCCTGGCACAAGAAATGTTTCTATAATTTTAGAGAGAAAAAAAAAGAGCAAATTTTTAATCTTGTGAATGGCAAACCTATTAATTCCCACTATTCTGTTGGATTAATAAAATGCTTTGAAGATCAGATTCACTTGACGTTCTTATCATAGATTTAAAGTTCAAAAGTGAGGAATACCACAGTTTCTGTTGTCATTCTCCTGTAAAACATCCCTATTCTACAAAATACAGTTTTTTAAAAATAATACCTCATTATAGGCAATAAAGTGACGATTCTAGTAAAAGGACATTCTTAAGACTAAATCTATCTTTCGAACTTCGTAGCAGAACTAATATATATATATATATAACGAATTTAGAATCTGTGATTTGAAAATGTTAAGTTTTTGGAGTATCAACTTTTATACAGCATATAATAGTACCACCTCAATCCTATTTCAGAGAAGGTATGTTTTCCTAGTCAGGCAAATAGCAAAAACGCTTTGGAATCTTTTAATCTCTTTTGGTCTTATTACTATTTATTTATATAGCAGTATTCGGTGCATTGACTATTACTTATTTATCATGGTTTGAGGTTTAACTTTAATACCTAGAATAACAGATATTTTAAGTCGTTGACGATTTTTACTTTCTATACATCCGATCCATGTAATTTTTGTTTCCTTATCTTCTTTAGCTATATTTTCTTAAATATATGGCTTTTAAATTTTTTTTTGATTGAAATTATTTTTTTTAATCCCCCACTACAATCAAAAGACCAATATTTAAAATGAAAAGTCAGTATTCAAAGTCCCAATTTTGTTGCTTCTTTTCCTCCTAATTGAATGATTAAATAAGTTTTGATGTTTTCTCTCAAATTACAAAGAATTTTTTGCTGCTCTACTAACATTATTAAATTTTAATAAATTGTAATTAACAGTCACGAAAATAATTTTCTCTTATTTTTTTGATTTAATAAGTAGTTGATTTTTGTCTTATTTTAAAATGTTGAGCAAGAAGCAAAATGATTCTAAACTAATAATCTAGTGTTCAGCAAAAATTTTTCCTATTACAGTATAAATTATCCAAATGTTTAAAGATTGCCCTATAAAAAATATTTCTATACTTTTTAACGTCTCTCGCTAACTCATAAGGTATTACGAATGGGTGCTTTCCAGTTCACATAACAAATTTTACAAAATTGAAAGGAGGTGCCATATCAACTATACAATGTATGAAATTAAAAAAACTAATCACTTTGAATATTTTTTGATCTAATGATTGGATTTTCAACTACTAGAACTCAATCTTAATGGTTTGAGCAGGTGATCTAAAATATGCCAAAAAATTAGAGCAGACGATATCTTAAGTTACAAAATCAAATACAAAAACTTATTTTCTTTGAATAAATTTTTCTTTTTAGCACCCCTCAAAATAGAGGAAGAGGGTGCATTCAGGGAAATATAATTCCAATAGCTTGAGCAGGAGAACAGTAATTAAAGTCTGAACCCCTTAAAGTTAATTTTACTTTTTGGGTATTTCATCATATCTCAAGAATTATTGCACACAATAATCGAATTCGTTTATTCAAAGATAATTCCATGCAAAGAATTATTTTTGATAACTATTTAGTATACTATTTTTATCATTTAATTTAATAACAGTAGAAAAATTTGAATTGTGAGATTTAAAAATTTTTACATCATTTCAAAGAATAAATTCATAGGGCAAAAAAAGAAATTTGAAAAAAATCGGTTGAATAGTTTTTTATAAAATTGAATTTTAAAGAAGTCATATATTAAAAATTCAATTTTTAAGGGTTCAATTACTCTTTAAATGCTTCACATAATAATTAATGAATAAATTTTAGGAAAAGTAATAATTACAAATGAGCAATACTTCAATTCCAAGAACGTAATTAAACAATGCAATAAAACACTATTGTAGCTAGGAATAATTTAAATTATTATCATGTTTACACACATATATAGTGTCTTTATGATTAATTAAATGATAGAAATAAAACAATATGATTATATTTAATGGAAAATGGATTTCACTGGAGTTAAGGGGTAAATAGGTATTTTTTTCTAAAAACCTTTTCAACTTTTAAAACTTTCTCTATAAAAGTCACTTCCAAAAAATTTTGAAGTTAGAAAATAGCATTTTTTTCTTTCTGATCCATAATAGTACAGGTTAAGGAATGGGTTCTATTGTCAGTGGCAGTTTGAAACCCATATGGCTTCAGATCAATGTGTAAAAGCTTGTTTGGGAAGTAAAGGCGGCCGCGGTGCAATGTTGAAAACATTGCCACCATTATGCTGTTGGTCACGGATTTGTGGATTCTTGAACTCCATGGCTATTGTGAGATGCCAGACTTAACTTTTCAAGTTAATATTGCCAGCGTTAGAAGATAACTGAGTATTTGACACATAACACTAATGCTCAGCAGCACTTAACAGTGGAACTGATTACTCCAATGTTAAAAAATGCTGGTCGCTTTAAAGAAAAGGTGAAGTCTAACTCCGAACTACCCTAATTAGAGTATACGGAAAAATATCTCACCCGTCGCCGCAATAGACCTGCTCAGGTTCGCACCAACTGTGCTGGTCGAGGGACACTGCGAGGCCCCACTGTCGCATTTATTTAAAAAGAACAAAACTTACGTTCGATTTGGCAACAATCTGAACAGAAAAGGCGCACAGGGCTTCAGTTTCTTTTACAATGAAAGATTAAATAAGTTTTTGGATTACATGAGTATTTCAATCACAAATTTCAAACGATAAAACATAAACATAAGTATAGTTAAGTTAAAAAGGACCATAAGACCCCGAACCCAAAAGACCCTTATAATAAAATCATAAATAAATAACAGGCCAAATGACCTTTATAATTAGCAAATAGATTAAAACAATGAGGTCAGATGGCCAATATAAAAATCACTAAAAGGTGGCAATTCATGCAATTAAACCAGAAGTAATTAAGTACAAAATAACGAAGGCATCGAGGGAAGAGCTTGTACAGATGGTTGTTGTTGTTAATTTACGTCGCACTAGAGCTGCACAATGGGCTATTGGCGACGGTCTGGGAAACATCCCGGAGGATGATCCTAAGACATGCCATCACAATTTTGATCCTCTGCGGAGGGGATGGCACCCCCGCTCCGGTAGCCCGACGACCTGCGCGCGAAGTCGAGCACTTTACGGTAGCACAGTTTAACGAGGACCAATACCGCACACCCTCGGTCCCAACGCAGACTGATCCAAGTGGTCACCCACCCGCACACTGACCGCAGCCAGTGATGCTTGACTTCGGTGATCTGCTGGGAACCGTGTCTTATCGATCAGTCCACTGCGGGACCTTGTACAGATGGAGGGCAGCCTTTAAAATATTGAAAGCAGTACTGGAGACTTAGTAGGGGCCAAAATTAAAAGCAGTTGGTTACTTGAAAGGTTCACTAAAAGTGGACAAAAGTACATTTAAGTCCAAAACAGTGTAAAATTGAAGTAGTGAGCCGTAAAAGATTATGAAAATCGTTTCAAAAAAAAGTTAAAGTGATTCAACCAAAATAAAGTTAAAAGTAAAAAGGGTTAAAGTTAAAAGGACAATAAAAGTGAGAAGTTAAAAGTAAGGTCAAAGGACCAAAGATGAGGCTTAAAAATGGGAGATAGATAAAAACTGGATGAAAAGTATAAAAATTGAGTAGAATTAAAAGGAAATAAGTTAAAAGTGGTAAAAACAAGAGGTATAAAAACATTGAGACACCCAACCATGAACTTCAAAATACACTCTGCAAGCTCAATAATGAAGGGTTTAAAAATAGAATAAAAGGTACCACTTGTGAAGTGGCTCTGGAGTATTTTATGTGGGCAGATTCTGAGGTTAGTCGATGCTTGTTGCCAGCACATCTTCCAAGGTTGTTTTGATAATAGTTTTAATTATGTCCCTACAGGTCAACTTAGCAAAGCACTGATGTTGATTAAAATCATTTCCACGGAGTGCCTGGAAGTTATTTTAGAGAAGAAAAAAAAGTAGGCATTGGTTCATTGTAAGAAGTTNAGGTTTCAAAAAAAAAAAAAAAAAAACTAACTTTTCAAAAATATAGAACATTTTCAAATTCTTTTTTACGTAAAATAATTTTTTTGGCTCAAGGTTTTTCTAGATTAATTATCATGCCATGTTAGTTAGAAATATACCCGTTATGAGAATAAAAAATTAACTCCCAAAATTTAGTGACTTGGTGTTCTGTTAATTTTGATCTGTAATGAAATTTTTTCTGAAAAAATAAAAAGATACAGTACATATAAATCAATGAACAATGGAAAAATATATCACATGAATCAAATAGAGTTTAGAAAAATGAATTATAGTGTCAATGCAAATTTCTGCACCAAGCAAGAAATAATAAATCATTGTTATGACACAGATGTGATATAAATATTTAATAATCTTGTTCATATTTGAAACACTTATAAAATGTATAACTATACAATATTAAAAAACAAATACATAAGCGATTTTGAAACAATTTTTGATCTAGCACTAGAATGTTGATTTCCTTTTCTATCCTTTCACAATGGCTTCGGAGGCATGTTTGAATGTGGCATAGTACCAGGTGTTGCATTGATTGGTGTTCCCGTTAAAGTATCAGGACAATGCTTCTAGAGAAAAATGAATGTTTTCAGATCAGCATGATTATATTACACACAATAGTTTCCTTTTTTTTAAATAATTTCCAATTTCTAGTAAATTTAAGTGGGAAAAACTTTCCGAGTGAAAAATTGCCTTTAAAGATTAAGTTTAAAATTTTTTACAGGAGTTGAATGTAGATTATACACTAAGACTGTAAACAGTTTCCATATAACAGTAAACAGTTTCCATACAGCACAGCTATAAACATTAGACAAAATGACTACACCAAACATAAACCAAATCTGACACACAAAAATGAAATAAAGAAGGCAAGATAAGGTAATTCTGAGTTAAGGGATCTGTGTTTACCAAAAGAAGGAAAACCTCTGAGGGATATTTGAGATTTGTAAGACATTTTCAAAGACACTGTAAAAAAAGGATAACAACCACATACTAATTTTTAAGAAGATTATTTAAGTTCAAGAAATTAGAGGCAAATGAGAGTTCAACCACAACTACCTTAACCAAATTTTTAGAGGAATACAAAAATTTAGGCAAAATAAAATACGGATTTTAATTATAACATTGAAAGAAAATCCATATACAGTGAAAACTCTTGGAAGCGACCACTTTTTGTTCTACATTAAAATGGGCGTTAATGGAGGTTGGGCCCATGTCTTGGGGGTTACATTCATCGACTTCAAAATATTGTCGAAGGTACATATTTTCTTTGCAAGCAATTTTACTTTTACTCAGAGTCATTTTCTTGGGGTGGAAATGTCACTCGTGTTGGCATCATGAACACCAGATCGATGAATAAAATTTAGCTTCAATAAAAATGACCTTTACTGATATAATTATGTGTAAAAACAAATTTACTAATTCTTTTTTAATAAATAAACAATTATGTATGGAGGAAGGTTTTAAGGAAGGCTCTGGCCCATAAAGAGCTGCCATGCCAATAGAAGAAGAAACAATGCTTAGTTTTTTCTGAAATAACTTTTTTTCTTCTAATTTAACATTCAACTCTAAAAAAAAAAAAAAAACATTCATTGCATCGTCTTTAGTGCACTGTGACTGGAACATGAAGTTGTTGATCTCTTTCAGAGATAGTCAAAAAGATCTCTCTAAATAAGAGTCTCACACAAATATTTCGAATGTATTGAATCTACTTATTATTTTTTTTGTTAATAATTTTTGCTTTGATACTTTTTCGTGTTTCCTTATTTGACCTTTTCCGCATTTGGTTTTGAGGTTTGTCCGGTCGATGAGGGAGGTTTCGATGGTCGCTGCTATAAGTTTACTTCAACACAAAGTCTACAGAAAAAATTCCGTGCCGCTCATAAGTGGTTGCAAATAGAGGAGATTGGTACACAGAGGCAAAGCCCGCACTAAGCACTCGCCACCTCGCAAAATGCAATGAAATCGTAAATTTGGCAAATAAAATTGTGTTTTTGTGAAAGTATTGGTGAATGATTTTTTTCCACCGAAAAGAAATTAAAATTACGCCAAAATGAATTTTTCTAAACCAATTAGTATTTTTTTATTAGATTACAGCAATTTTCGGTAGATTCATCCCATAACCAATTAGAATTGGGTCCAAATAATATAAGCCTGTAACAAACTACTGTAAAATAGTTTCTTAGGGGAAAAAATTAATCATAAAAAATTGTTGAGATTCGAAAATTGGCAAATACTTTTGATAATTGGCTAATTTACTGGTTAATAATTTGAAAACCTTAGCGCGGGTCTTGCAGAGGTGGTCTTGCTTGGATGCTTCACTATATAATTAGTAAATTCAGATATTTACATTAACAAAATTATACATTTTGATAAAAAGTGCCTTGATGTTCTGCCTTTTTCTACTGGTAAATGTCAGAATTCGATAGTTTTTGTTTAATCCTAATTTAAATATTAATTTATACATTGTTATTATATTTATATATATATTATTATAATACGTATAGATTTTGCTTTTATTTTTGATAAGGTTTTTAAAAATATAAGACTGTATTTTTGCAACACTCTATGTAATACAGAATTTGTTCTAAGCTAAATTTGTGAAGAGCTGCCCTGTTTGAATACTGCACATAAAAAATTTCGGCCAAATACGCAAAAAGTGATAGATTTTCCCTCATAAGTTCAAGTTTTCTGAAATAGTTTTTCGATCATTTCCTCAGAATTATATTTTAATACAGTGAAACATCTCGGGAGCGACTACTCTCCGTTCCACAGTAAAATGATCGTTGATGGAGGTTGGTCTTCTTAAAGGTTACCTCCACTGATTTCAAAATTGTTATCGAAGGTACATGAATTTATTTTTAGTCAGTGTCATTTTGTTGGTCCGGAAATGCCTTTTCTGTTCGCGTCATGAAATGAACTATCAATGAATAAAATTTAGCGTCTATAAGAATGATCCCAACTGATTAAATTATGCGCAAAAACAAATTTGCTAATTATGAATAACAAAGCTATTTTAAATAAATAAACTTGTATGTTTTTTGTTAAAGCTTTCATTTCATTTTATATTATACAAATTAATAAGCATTAAAAGATGAGAAGAGGTTTGTTTGTTTGAGATGCTTATTTTTTTCTAATTTAATTTTCGCCTTAAAAGCATTCTGACTGCAACACGAGGTTGTATCGTCAAAAAGAGCTCTCTAAATAAGAGCCTCAGACAAACATTTTGAATACATTTTAATCTACTTATTTGTTTCAAATTTTTGTTTTGAGATTTTTTTCAGTTTGCTTATTGAACTGTTTCCGTATTAGGTGCAGATGTTTGCCTGGTTGCTGGGCGAGGTTTTAATGGTCTCTCCTAAATGTTTTCTTCAACACAAAGTCTATGGAGAGAATTCCGTGCCTTCCAAAAATGGTCGTAAATAGAGGTCCTGGAGGTTTCACTGTATGAAGATAATACATGTTATTACTACACACAAAAATAGGAATTTTAAATTTGATTACGACTCACGATTTTGAACTTCTTTACAAGTTTAGTTAGAGAAGATTCCATTGTCAGTCACTTTCTGATTATTTTTTCGATGGTTGTTGATCATCCCCCCCAGTCATTTACACATAATTTTTCAAAAATATAATTTCATATTTGAGTAATAACTTTTTTTGAGAATTCATTGTTAATTCATTTAGTTTTCTCATTGGTTATTTATTATTTTCCAACCATTTCTACGAGGCTTTTCAAATTATGATACTTAAATACTGTGTTTCATGACACACAAATTTAAAATTTGAGTGATTATAGTTCGAGGTGCTCGAATTGTTACAATTCCATCAAAAATCTATGCCTACCGATAATTTTTACAGAACTTATTAAGAATTTTTCAGTTATTTCCACATGGTTCCCCAAATTCCAATATTTTAAAAATAATGATATTTGGAATACAATGTTATTACTACACACAATTTAGATTTTGAGACATTACTTTTGATGCACTTGGTTTGCGACTATTTTTTCTAAATTCCTGTCATTTTCTGATAGTTTCTCTTTGGTAGTAATTTATCAATCTCTCTTTTTGCCAACATTTTTTAAAATGGCTCCTTATTTTCAAATAATTAGTTCACATTTTTCTGAAAAATAGTCACTATTTAGCCTTTTTTTGGAGGAAATAGTAGCCAATCACTCGCCACCCTGGTTTTAGTAATAACCTAAGCAGCAATTTTACCTTGGCCTCAAAATAAATCCTATAAGAATATGCACCGAGGGACTAATATTGGGATGTCTATATTTTTTAATATTGGTCCTAGAATGGCCTATATAGGGTCTACATTGGCCAATATAGAACCTAAATTGGCTATTTAATGGATATAAAATATTAGGTGAATCTGACAATTTGATATAGGACCGATATTGGCTGTAAAATATCGGGTGAATCGGAAAAGTTTATATCAAGCTAATATTGGAAAAATAACGGCGCGTTGAATCCTAACTGAGACAAGATTCATGAATATTGGCCCAAGTTATTTTGCTGCAAGGTAAATAGTGGCATTTCAGTCGCTAGCAGAGGCCCTGAATTAACAGTATTGTGGTTATTTATATCTGATATGCAAAATCTCAATCACTTACTTTCTTTTTCTTCTTTTCTTTTTTCTTCTTCTTTTTCTCCTTCTCCTCATCATGCCTTTTCTGTTTCTTGTGTTTTTTCTCATGCTGACCTTCATTACTTGTTTCTGGCACAAACACAGCTGGTTTTAATACCTCTGAAATAACATGCATTAATAAACATCTTACAAGCCATACATATTAAACAAAATTTGTAATAATAACAAAGTTATATCTTAAATAAGGGTGCACAACCTGTAACATGGGTATCTGACGCCGCTCTTGAATAATAGAGCAGTTCCCCTATTAATTGCCAAAATAAAATACTTTAAAAAATAAAATAAAAAAACACAACGCAACGTATTTAGGCACTTTTGACAAATTTGTTTTGAAAAAAAATTTTATTATTGGAATGTTAATTTTTTTTGTATGTTGTATCTTAAAAAATTACATTTTTACAGTTATTTCAATGAAATATTTTTCTTTTTAGAAACTTAGGCATTATAAAAAATGATTTTAATGCCAATATTACCTCTTTAGAAAGCTTCAAAATAAAGTTATTAATAGTTTTATTTTTCATCATATGCTTGTTTGTTATTACCTGGGAAAAAAAAAAGATTAAAAGCTAAGTTTTAAGCTAAAATGACTAAAAGTTATGGCACATTTATTGGCAATACATTAATATTTTGAATAAGGTATAGCTTATAATAAACAAAAACTGACACACATAAGCATAAAAAAAAGCTTTCCTACAAACCTTGCTGAGATTCTTGAGTAGGAGTTTCATTGCCTTTGTGTTTGTGTTTTTTATGCTTTTTCTTTTTCAGTGGTGGTTGACTCATTAGTCTATATTGCTCTGGAAGCTAAAATATTATAGATGCATATAAAAAAAGTCGAAATACATACACAATTAAAATTTAAAACTAATAGAAACTAATGTAATCTTAAAATTGCTTTTTTATTGCAAATAATTTTTCTCATACCTAATAAAATACATAAATTATACTTGTGAAGCTAAACTTTAAACATTAAGGCTGAAATAGCCTGTTTGCATATTTTCTAATGGATTACGTTAAGTTTAGCAAAGGTTTTAAATTCAAACATTTTTAAGCTTTTCTTTTTATTTAAATTATAACTTAAAAATAGTGAAGAGGAGTAAATTTATAAATAGTTTGAGAATCTAAGCAACAACAATTACTAACTTCATAATATAACAATTCAATGTAAAAAATAATGTATGAAAATCTAGCAATATTATTCAGCAGCAGCACAGTCATTCTTAGTTCTAAAAAGTACCAGTACTGCTAAGAACTGGAGCTGTGTTTCTTCTGATGCCCAGGGTGAAGCTCTAAATTTTACCATGCTCTAGGGTTTCAGCAATTTCATTGTATCCTGGCATTTAAGAGGCCTGTCGCATTGCTACACCATCTCCTGTTAGCAAACTTAATGTATAAAGAATATTCTCAGCATTAAAATGTATTTACAAAGCCTTTAAATAAAATATGAAAGACGATTTATGAGATTTTTTCTTCTTTTCTTGAATTAAATTAAATTTGTGCTTTCGGTGAGAGTTGATGATTTTGCTATTATTTCTTTTTAATGTTCTTTTTCATAGTAAAAATTTCAAATCAAAATCTGAAATTCAAATGCGCTGATATTTCATAAGAGTGGAACAGTGTATATAGTACTAAAAACAATGCTTCAAATTTAGGTTAGCCAAATATGTAATATAAATTTAAACAAAAATATTCAAATAATAAGAACAAGTTTTTTAGAAGAAAAAATAAACAGTTGCATTAAATACAATATTAATTTAGTTAGATATCAATAGTAATGTAGTTTTATGTACATAAATTGTTTTAATGTCAATAAAAAACTACAAACAAGCATAATTTTTTCCTTAATAGTCATAGATTTAAAAGAGCTTAAGGTAGTAACAAATTATTAGTATAGACTCAGAGTAACTAGGAAAAAATAGTTTACTAGAAAATATGTAATAATGCCAAGACAAATTAAAATATTTTGCTCTGGCTACATTAGAGTTACCTTTAAATAAACATAAAGTATCTTACAGTGAATTTTTAGCACATATAATATAAACAACCTAAAATGTTTTAAACATAATAGAAAATTTAAGAAATGAGAAAATAATAAAAGAATGCTTAACTTATTTTAAATTTTAAAAATAGCAAATACCATTCTTAAAACATACAGGGAAGAAAAAACAAGGTTTAAAAATCTATGTTTTAAAAGAAAAAAAAAATATTTACCGGTCCAGGGTGTAGTCTAAAGCCAGAGAGTTGTGAACCAGTAAGTGGTAAAAGTTCTTTTCCCCCAATAGGTGGCTTATCAATTAGAGATTTTAAGCAACTGAAGAAAAAAAAAGAGCAATTTTTTAAATCAGAAACTATGACAATAATTCAAAGGTTTGATACAAAATGAAATTTTCATTAGTTATTCTTTCGTAGAATTCCAGAAACCACTATCTTTTTTCATCATTTAAATATTAGGTCCAAGTATATTACAACAAGTGCTTTTTCTTTTCATGAAATATTAAAGGTGTATCTTGAATTATAGTAGACATTTAGCGCTATCAGTATATCCTTTTTGGGACACACATTTTTATTGTTAAAAATATTTACTAGAAAAAATTTATACAAATTAATTTATATATTTTTATACTAACAATAAGATTTAGAGCTGTAAAGAATGTATTCTTTATTTGACTGATAAAGAGACATGCTCTTATTGTAGGGGCCTGAAACCAGAGCTGTCACTGGAGTAAGACTCCAAAAATAATGGCTTGAGTTGCTTCAGATATGAAAAATAGTCTCTAATGTAACTGCCAGATCCGTATAATAGTTTTCCTCTAACATATTTTTACTTTAATGATATAAAATATTCCAAATAATGTATTTTTTTCAGACATTTGCACTTTAATATATACAATAAGTTAATTTTAAATACACAAAAAGCAAAAGCCTTAAACTTTATGTGTTGAAGATGCATAGATATCATGCAATCTAGATGTTTTCAGAAATTTTCAAAAAATAAAATAAAAAGGAAATGTACATGAAAGAAAAATGCACATATGTTAAGTGTTGGGCTACTTTAAATTTTTTCAGGTGTAATTGTAAATATATAAATAAAAAAATACTAAATTTAATGATTTAAAAACACACAAACATTATATTGAGAAACAGTTGGCTGATACGAATTCTGATCTCGGCTTGCACTGCTTATCCTCAATGGTAGAGGTATTTGTGGGTTAAAACCCCCTTGCGGTCGGGCTATCCGTGATAGGTGATCCATGAAACTCAAAAGCGTGTTAGTGACATCAAAAGATCCTCCATAAAGGCTAGTTTGTCTCAATGCTTGATCCAGGTGTCTTGTCTTGGGGGCTGAGTTCATATTTACGAGACTACAGAGTTGAACGTTGAGTGATAAACTCCGAATTGGGCTTTGAGGCCAGTTATACAAAAAATTACACTTCTTTTAGTTGTTTGCTCTTTTTAAAAGTAATCTGTTACATGTATATTAGTCCAAAAGCAAGTGACCAAAAATCCTATTAAAGCACAAACAAGTCATTATCCTTGTGCAGTCCCAAATTCGAATAATTTTGAAGCGAGAGTAAAAAATAAAACAGTATATTTCAACATGTTAAAGAAACATAACTTTTTTAGTCAATGATTACACAGTAAATATGATAAAATTTGCAGTTATTGGCTCAGAAGCTACCTATTGGCGATAATCTCGGGTTTGGTGAAAATGGTCAAGGGGATATTCTCAAAGTACCAAATTTTTTGCTCTAAGCAAAATAATTCTAGAATTAAAAATATAAGGTATGCTTTTTTTTATTTTGAGATTTAATTTGCTTTATTATGTTATACTTAAATTGAATAAATTATATTTTTAGTTGTTTTCGCTTTTTAAAAGTAATCTGTTATATGTATACTAGTCCAAAAGCATGTTCTGTTTTTTTGGAACCACTTTGAGATCTGTGCAAAATTTAAATTTAAAATATGCCATTTATTTTTTGAGATTCATAATTATTTCTTTAAAGTCGAAATTTGTTCTTATTAATGAAAATAGAATATTTCATAAACTCTATTTAATTTTCCAATGCAAAAAAATTAATTAAGTATTGAAGTAGAATTTCGACAAGGATTATAAACTGCATGTGTTAAATGAAAAATAAGTGGAGTAGACTAAACTAATGTGCATAGCATAACTCCATTTAAGTTTCTTTTCCGAATATTTATTTACCCCCAAGAATCGTAGAACACACATATTCTTACATACATTTATTTTTATACATAACATTAAAATAGTTTCACAAATCAATTGATACTCAACCAACACCTTTCTTTAGATAAATAATCCTACGAAACTAAAGTGGTAAGGTATAACCTGATTGACAACTTCATTCCTTTAAAAAATAAACAAATATGAAATAACAGTTGACATATTTCAAGCACTTAAGAAACAAGTGCCCATTTTCAAAACTTGCCAGACTTGAAAATAAAGAAATAAAAATGATTTGAAATAAAAAACGCAAAGTTTCCAACAAAAAATGGGAAAATTAGAGTAAGAAACAAAATTAGAGTAAGAAACAAAATTAGAAAAACCAAAATTAGTAAAAAAAAAAAAAAAAAAAAAAAAAAAAAAAAAAAAAAAAAAAAAAAAAAAAAAAAAAAAAAAAAAAAAAAAAAAAAAAAAAAAAAAAAAAA